ATATATTATATATATATATATATATATATATATATATATATATACTGTGAATGAACAATCTAAGTTAAAAAATGGATTAAAGTGATGGGTGTGAGTGGAGTGCCCAAGGAATCCATAATACAGTATATCTGTGTTAAATATGTACAGGAACAGGAGACTATATACATATTTACAAAAAAATTTTATCTGTCTAAATTATTGAGTTATGTCTCACAGATCAGAATGAGTATACAGATAAAATAAATTTATAATCATCTTATGACTTTTACTTTATTTCAGTTATTTACATAAATCGATACTAATTGATAAAGTTACTGTAACATTGCCTATAATAGATGCTACTATAGATGACAGAGTAATAGAAACGTTGTCAGGAAAGGAACAGCGATCACCAAGGACTATTCAGAATTATTGCTATTAACTATAAACAAATGTTACTTATTCCTATATATGTAATTATTCCTTTCAATTGCAATTTTAAAAAAAACAAAAAATTGCATATGTAATACAAAGCAGTGTCCAGAAAGCTTCTCTTTGAAGGACATTCATGCAAGCATTAAAGCAGAAAATAAAGTATTGTCAATAATCCACCAGATGAGAGAGAGAATCTCACTAGACAGAAAAAGCAGCTTTTAATGACTTTATGAAAGATCCTCGGATCATTATCTGCCCTGCGGATAAGGGAGGGGGTATGGTCATAATGTCTTATGACAAATACCAAAACGAAAACAAAAAACATTGCGGTATTATATACTATACACAAGAATGCAGACAACCCCCTTGGGAGACCGGTGGTCTCCGCCAGGGCCAGATTAAGAGCCCAGTGGGCCTGGTTCTGAAAATTACGATGGGCCTAATTACAAAATCTTATCGACCAAAAACACTAAAACAGTTATACCTCCCATGCGTCATGTATCTGATGGAGGTGGTGCTGGAGGGAAACTCATAGGATGAAGCTATAAGAAAACACATAACCTATGCTAATCTCACGCTTTTATCTTTCAAGTAAATCCATACCCCTTAACAGCAGTCAGGGCCGTCTTTAATTTTGATTGGACCCTGGGCAAGCATTTACTTGGGCCCCCTGACTATATATAGATACACACAAATACACTACCTGACACACATGCAGATACACACTGACCGCATGTAGATACACACAAGAACATACAGATACACACAGACTACATATAGATACACTGACACACACAGATATAAACACTGACATACATGCAGATACAAAGGTACACCCATTGACTACATATAGATACACAGATATACAGATACAAACACTGACACATACAGATACACACACAAACGGAAAACATACAGATACAGAGACACACTCTGACAGACGTACTGACACAGTCATACTGAAACACACATACACAGAGACATACTGAACAACACAGACACTGACATACTGAAACACACATACACACAGACATTGACAGACATATTGACAAACACAGACATACAGAACCACATGGACACTGACAGACAAACAGACATTCTGGCACACATACACACGTACAGACATACTGACACACTGACAGACATGCACACACAGAGACATACTGACACACTCATGCAAAATTTGATAACCACCCTCCAGTTTCTTACCTTTTTCTGTAGGGTGGCTTCCCTGGGGTTCAGTGGGCTGGCTGGGGTGACTGGGAGTTAAGCTCTCCCGGCCTGGCCCCCTCCGGAACAGCTGGTCCTCCTTCCTCCTGTTTCTGTGGGAGGAAGTGACGCACGGCTGTCACTTCCTCCCAGTGCTGCCGAAAAGCAAGGGCCTGGTTGCGCTGTTAAAGCACCACAGCGCCCGACCGGGCCCCTGCTGACACAGGCCCACTGGGTGGCCCTAAGTGCATGGGCCACCCGATGGGCCCCATAGTTTGCGGGCAGAGGACAAACAGGGCAGTTACCTCGGGCCCCCCAGACGGCCGTTAAAGACGGCCCTGACGTTAAAGACGGCCCTGACAGCAGTGTCTGTTTAAGCAGGATTTCAGTGGGTGGAGTAAAAGGGTGGGCCACTAACGCGAATCACGTAACCAGAACTGTTGAAATGGGCGAACATACCCAAAAAAGGGGCATGTCTGCCCAAAGAATTTGAAGGACAGCCTGGCATGAATGTAGTCATGCAGGCTGGCCAACTAATGGCATACTATGCAGACAGCACCCTGAGCTTCGCATAAATGCATCTAATGATGCACTCACACCACTCTTTCTATGTCAGTCTCAGTATAAACAGAGATTAATCTGCAATACCAGCACCAGCCAGTTGGGGTCGCTGTGTGTGTGATGAGAGGCAGGCATAGGAAGTTAGAGCATCTCCCTACTCACTGAGGGTAGACAACCTACAGTCCAGGTAAGTGGGATGGGGGGAGGCTGCAGGGAGACATGGGGACACTGAAACACTAGGGGCCACTGGGTCCCCATTTCCCCCAGTGTCTGTATACCCATGTCTCTCACCATCCCCATGTCTCAGTTTCACCTAGTCTCTAAGTGTCCCCTAGTGTCCTAGTGACATGAGAACACAGACACTAAGAGAAACTGAGGGACACCCCTTTTGTGGTGTCCAATAAACCTGCTTAAATCTATCACAGTGAACACTGGGACACAGAGAGACATGGGGACACAGACTAGGAAACACTGAGAAACTAGGGACACTGGCACACTACAAACACAGGGACACCAGGAGGCATTGAGATATCTGGGACACTGGGAGTGCCCCATGTCTCCGGGGTCTCGAAGTTGCCCAGTGTTCCCTAGTCTCTCAGTGCCTCCTAATGTTTTGGTGTTCCCAAGTGTCACTATGTCTCCCAGTGTCCCCTAGTGTCTGTGTCCTCATGTCTCCCTGCAGCCTCCCCCCCCCACATCCCTCATTTACCTGAGCTGCAGGCTGTGTCTGCAGGCTCGGAGCTGCTTCCCCCATGGAACAGTGAGGAGAGAGGCAGGGAGGGAGATGCTGTAACTTCCTATCCCTGCCTCTCAACACCCTCCCCCACCCACTGGCACAGCGCTTCTATTGCAGAATGATCTCTGTTTATATGGAGACTGACATTTGTTTTGCCAGTATTACTGCAATACCGGTACCGGCTAGGCAGCCTCAAATACCGGAGAAATACCGGCCAGGTGGCAACCCTAAGAGAAGTGTGTAAAAAAATAAAAAAAATAAATAAAGATTTTTATCAATCAATGGGCCTATTCCATGGGCATGGGCCTGGGCCTGGAAGTGCAGCTCCATTATAGCCTGTGTTAATCCGGCCCTGGTCTTCACCAGAAATGGTCCAATTGAACCTACAGCTAGATGTATCGATTTTCACATTAAAGATTCTGTTATGGACCTCCCGACATGCCTCCGAGACACCAGTGATTTTTTGGAGAAAATCAACCAATTATCCATAAATGACAACGATATCATCCTGTCAACACTAGATGTACAAAGCCTGTAAACAATCATACCCCATTATCAAAATACAATGGGCCACCCATTGAATATCTGCTGGATCTATTACTCACTGCATTAACATGCAATTACTTCAAATTTGAGGAATACTTTTACCTGGAAAAAGCTGGCACAGCGATGGCGCCCTCATACACAAATGCTTACATGTTTTGTTTTGAGAATCAGCATATACTAAGCAAATACTCAAAAAATTACAACATCGTTTCGTGGATGACATTTCTAGTAAGGCATGGCCCATCCACTGAACTGCAAAATATGGGAATGGAACTCAATCGGATTTACCTGTAAAACTCACAGCAACACATTCCACGTTCGCTCATCCCCATAGTGGGGAGAGAATACCAACCTCACACTTTATTACATGTACCACCTCAGTTACCTGATCACTTGTCCGTGTGGATTATCCTACATCGGTAAAACCGACTTAACAGTGCGAAACCATATCAGAAGACATAGAACAGCAATCACCACAGCGTTCAGAGACCAACAGACAGATAAACATGTGGTCAAACATTTCTTATCTGCTTCGCACAGATTACCCACTATGTTTCATGGGCATAGACCATTTCCCCCCTCTCCCACGAGGAGGAGATAGATCAAAGAGAAGCTTTCTGGATCCACCATCTGGACACATCTGCACCTAAAGGACCTAAACGTATTACAAATGCTATGTTTTTTTAAAATTACAATAGAAAGGAATATTTAGACATTTATAGGAATAAGTAACATTTGTTTATAGTTAAAAGGGACACTATATAGTCACCCAGACCACTTCAGCTCAAGGAAGTGGTCTGGGTGCCAGATCCCTCAGGTTTTAACCCTGTAGATGCAAACATAGCAGTTTCAGAGAAACTGCTATGTTTACATTGCAGGGTTAAGCCAGCCTCTAGTGGCTGTCTTCCGGACAGCCACTAGAGGTGCATTGAGAAATGCTTTCCTATTGACAGCTTGAATGTATTCGGCTACGCTGACGTCGGCAAGGGAGGAGAGGTCACCAGCGCCGAGGGAGCCCGGCGCTGGAATAAGGTAAGCTGCTGAAGGGAAAACCCTCAGGACACCGTTTCTATTACTCAGTCATCTACAGTAGCATCTATTATAGGCAATGTTACAGTAACTTTATCAATTAGTATCGATTTATGTAAATAAATGAAATAACGCAAGAGTCATAATAAGATAGTTCTATATTTATATTATCTGTATCCTCAATCCGATCTGTGAGACCTAAATCAATTTAGACAGAAATTTTTTTGTGAACATATTTAACAAAGATATCCTGTATTAGGGATTCTTTGGGCACTCCACTCACACCCATCACTTTAATCAATTTTTTCACTTAGATTGTTCACTAAGTTACTATTTTTTTTAATCTCATCATGTGCAACACGTATTTACTTTGCAGAGCCCATTCACATTCTGCCCTTGGTAACCCCTTTAAGTTGAATGAATATGTGATTTATAGTGACAATACTTTTCACTTTAGTACTCCATATGCAATGTACTTTGTTTAATTTATACACAAAGGAACACAGGATCGGACACAACACGTATTCACTGTTTTCTTGTATTGCCTAGCATGTATATGCACTTATGTCACGTGTTCCGTCTGTGCACTTCCGGGTTTGAGGGGGATCGGGCAGTACGCACCTTGTAATTGGCAAGTTCATTTACACACTTTACTATGTAAAAGTATCACCTGCAATGTATATTTGACCTTGAGCAAGATCCGCACAAGCTTTATGTATCAAAACTACAAGGGGTGAGTGCCAAGACATATTCATATACATATATACACACACACACACACACACACACACACACTATATACTCGAGTATAAGCCGAGTTTTTCGGCACATTTTTTGTGCTGAAAAACCCCAACTTGCCACAATAAAGACCAGGACCGCCGGGCTCATTACAAGCCCGGCGGTCCTGTTGGGGGCTGACAGTGAGCGGTTACTTACCTTTCTGCAGCTCGTGTCAGCTCCCTCCTCCTCTGTGCAGCTCCTCTGTCAGCTCCGTTCTGCTCACAGTGTAAGTCTCGCGAGACTTACACTGTAAACAGAACGGAGCTGACAGAGGAGTTGCACGGAGGAGGGGGGAGCTGCAGGAAGGTAAGTAAGAGCTCCCTGTCAGCCCCCCACTGAACTGCCAATGCCACTGGACCACCAGGGATTCAGTATTTTATTTTAATAATAATAATAATAATAATAATAATAATATTATTATTAAAATAATATTTTAATATTTGCATTATTTATTTATTTTTAAATGTTTTTGTCCCCCCTCCCTGCTTGTTGCCTGGCCAGGGAGGGGGGACAAAAAACATTTTTTTTAAAATAATGCAAATATTAAAATAATAATTAAATAATATTTTAATATTATATTTTATTATATTATTATAATATTTGCCTTATTTTTTTTTTAAATGTTTTTTTGTCCCCCCCTCCCTGCTTGTTGCCTGGCCAGGGAGGGGGGGGGCAAAAAACATTTTAAAAAAAATACAAATATTAAAATAATAAAATATTTTAATATTATTTTATTATTATTTTAATTTTTGAATTATTTTTTTAAAAATGTTTTTTGTCCCCCCTCCCTGACCAGGCAACAAGCAGGGAGAGGGGACAATAATGAAAATATTAAAATAATAATAATATTCAAATAATATAATAATATTAATATATAATACAATTAAAAAGTTAAAATAAAAATGCCCTCCCCTCATCCAGTTTACACACACACACACACACACACACACAGCACATTCATTATATGTACACACACACACACACACACTCTGCATTCATTCTATACACAAACACACACACACACACACAAACACTCTGCATTCATTCTATACACAAACACACACACACTATAAATAAATATTCAATTCATGTAATTCTATTGGGATCTAATTTAATTTAGAAATTTACCAGTAGCTGCTGCATTTCCCACCCTAGGTTTACACTTGAGTCAATACGTTTTCCCAGTTTTTTGTAGTAAAATTAGGGGCCTCTGCTTATATTCGGGTCGGCTTATACGACACACACACACACACACACACTTCCAGCTGAAGTGGTAGAGGTTAACACATTGAAGGAGTTTAAGCATGCATGGGATAGGCATAAGGCCATCATAGATAAGGCCAGGGACTAATGAGAGTATTTGGAATAGAATGTGTGTAAGAGTGCAGTGTATGTGAGAAGTGCAGGGTATAAGTTTATATGCTCTGTATGAGTGGCATTGCTTGCAAGCCTTATTGGTCCAACAGTGAGTGAACTCTAGCCTGCAGCTTCAAAGGCTAGAGTATACTCTTGCGAGATAGGAACCTTGCTATGGGAACTGCGGCAATGCTCCGAGCTCTCGAAAGGAACCCAGCAGAGCTGCAGGTTAGAGTCCCCGGGTCCTCTTTCCCTCTGCTAGGCCAAGGTTAAGAGCCTAAGTTCATGTTAAGCCAATGCCTTATGTGTTTTGCTCCAAAAGACATGTTTTGAATGGTATTGGAAATATAAAGTGCTCTCCTAAAAGTTAGGTTACTATAAGCAGATTTATATTTAGTATTATTTTGTTAATATTTTGCCACAATAATTATCTCTTCCTAGTATACACCATATTAATGTAGGTTTCTATTTGTGTAGTGGAGCATAGACATTAATGAAAGGGATATTTATTTTATCACCTAGATAATTGGTATGATTCTCACCCGTGAATGTGCAGACAAGTTCAACTGTCTGATGCTGCTCATGGTCCGGATGCAACCATTCCTTCAAAAAAAAAATAAAAAAAAAAATGATTACATTAGATTTGTTTTTCTGGTTTTCTTTTTTAACATAACAGGATATTCTAGAAGAGATTCTGAATTAAAACACCAGAAGCAGTTGAGTGATCATAGCACATACAATCCGGCAAACTCAGACAGCCAATATAGGCAGTGCACAGGGCCACACAGAGACTGGAGATGGATGCTATTAAAATGGCTATATTTGCTCCTTTAACAAGGTGACCAAGCATGAACTTCTACGTAAAAAAGGAAACAACCCTCAATTAAGATAAAATGAAATGCTCTATTCAACACAAACCATACAACTTCATTCTTTTATAAACAGGGGAAATCTTTTCACATTTAGATTCTAGACATGAGACATTTGAGGCATTTACCGGAATCCATATTTATACATGAATCTATTTTCAGTTCTTTTTCTTTAGTTGCACTTTATGTGTAAAAAGTATTATAAGCAAAAATATAAGGGGGTTGTTTGGTATACATGTAGGATATTAAAAGAAAGCGCTGTCCTTTAAGGGTTTCTCTGTATGTGTGCACTTTTAAACTATGGTGGAACAAACATGTAGCAAAGTCTAGGTTTTGTTTTGGTTTAAAACTTGAACAATCGAAAAAATTATGCAAAAACTTAAATGCACGCATGTTTTCATTTGGTGTATATCTACTAAACAGTGATTAATTTGTTATATTTAGGCAATGGAGTATCCTTTTGAGGAGCTAACATTCAACATTAAAATCATTTTTGGATGGTAACAATTTATAAATAGCAGAATGAAGCAGCAAGTTCTTAACCTGCACTAGAAAAGTTAATGTGGTGCTTTAGTGTGAAGTTGGAACATCGAGCAGAGATTGTAACTTCTCATTTTTAAGCATCTTTATAATCATAAACCAGTTCATGTCATGAAGAGAACAAACATGTAGCAAAACTATTTTCCACCAGCTTTTTAGAGTTAGCCTTGTGATAGTACTACCTTTGCCACTTGTAAATTAGCACGGTATTCCCATTAGGGATCGACTGATATAGATTTTTTAGCGCAGATACCAATAATCTGTGAACTTTCAGGCCGAGAGGTTAATGATATTCTATACATTTACCATTTTGAATAAATAAACTAAATATACATGCCACATGTAGTGGATGCAGTGTGTTTAGACAGGGGAGCTGTGTGTATATAATGAATGCAGAGTGTGTTTGTGTAGTGTGCGTAAAGTGAATGCAGTGTGTGTAGTGTGTGTTTGTATAGTGTATGTATATAACGAATGCAGAGTGTGTGGGTGTTTGTGTGTGTGTGTGTGTGTGTTTCTGCAGGTTTGTAATTTGGGGGTCGGAGGGGGCATTTGAAATTTTTTTACAATTGTTTTTTATTTCCCCCTCCCTGCTTTTCACTTGGCCAGGGAGGGGGGATATGGCATTGTCTGTGCAGTGGGGGCCCGCAGAAAGCTCTTCCCTCCCCAGCAGCTCTTTTCAGCTCTCCTGACTAAATCTTGTGCTAGGTGCCGCGCGGAGCGGGACACACGAGAGTTAGACGGGAGCTGAAGGGAGCTGCTGGGAAGGTAAGAGCTTGCTGTGGGCCCCCCAGGGCAACCAAACTGGTCATTGGCACGGCGGTCCTGGTATGTTTTATCGGCAATATTGGTATCTCTATAGGCCGATACGGCTGAAAATACTGAATATCAGCCGATACCCAATTCCCATATTATTTCACAGTGATGTAATTCTTAAAAAAAAAGAGCCAAGGTCACTGCGCATGCAGGAGTACAGCATTGAGATCTATAGAGGATCCCACATGACCTTCATAGACAGCCAATTCCCTGCTTCCATCACTGTGATGGCTGTCAGGATTGAGAAGGAGAAATACAGAGACAAAGTAGTCCCAAATTTGTCTCAGTAGCTCTCTTGACTGGGTTATAATTTCATTAAAATACCAACACAATCAAAATGAGTATTTTATAAAGATTCTACATTTATTCAGGTGGAGATGACAGTGCTGCTTTAATATTTACACATTAATTACAACCACTATAGTGTCTTGTAGTGATTATAATGCCTGGAGGTTCTAGATGCTACCGGATGTCAATATAATCAAACTATTCAGCCAACAGCTCTCAGGCAATGAATATTATTCAAACCATGGGAATAGTATGGCTTAGATGCAATTTTAACTATATATCATGCTTATAGAATTGTGTGGAAAATGCACATCTAGATTTAGGAAAATGGAGTATACACTATATTGTGTTGCTGTTAATATAAAGTTCATAAGAGTACTTACAGCTTGAATAACATGGACAGGTGTGTGAGAAAATACGTCATCATCATCTTCTCCATATCCAAGAGTTAGACTTGTATATACGATAATGATTATAGTGGTAAAACAAGAAAACACAGAGGTGGCTATCAGAGCATTCACCTAAACACAGACAGAGAGCAGATTTATTATGGACTGGCAGACCTGATTTATAAACTCCTGACATGGAGATTAGGTCTTATGTACTAGACATTGGATAAGATTGATCATGTATTCGATGTAGCCAGGTTCCCACCATGCAGAGTCTGACATGCACACCTTCTTGGTGGAGTACAGACAACCCACCACCCAGTACAAAGCTTTATTCTTGGCACTACAGTTCCCTCTAACTCCACCCACCCTCAGTGAATAAAAGGGTTAAAAACCCTTTATTTACTTACCTTATCCCATCGCCGATCTCCCTCGGTACTGGGTCACAGCTCCGCCACCTCCTCTGTCCCGTGACGAGCAAGTGCATGTATTAGCCCTACCCATTGGAAAGCAGTTAGTCAATGCTTTCTTATGGGGAAAAAAATCTGATGCTGGATGACCTCATGCAGAGCGTGAGGATGTCCCAGCTTCAGTTAACGGACCAAAAGGTCCGTTTGAATGCAGGAAGCACTTCCAGTGGCTGTCTAGGAGACAGCTACTCGAGGCAGACAGTGCTGCCGTGTAAACTTTGCAGTTTCTCACATTGAAGCACTAAGTGCAATAGGAACAATTAGGGTTCCGTTTAGCAAATAGCTCCCTTATTTAGTTTTCTTGAATATGACAATCTCACATAAAAATAGCAAATAAGGGAGTAATCTGCTAAGCAATTGAAGGATTAAGAGGTGACATTAGCCAGCTTAGGACAAGAATTCTGGGTGGCTAATTCTGTGCCATATGTTGTGACTGTGGTATCTTATTTGCCAGCTCTATATATTCCTAAAGTTGCCACTGCAAACAATTAGTTGAAAAAAAAAAAAAAAAAAGACAAGTTGGATGTACAGGAACAGAAGATAAATACAAAGAAACTAGTCCTGCGCTCAAACTCCCATTACTCCTGGGCAGCAGCAATGACCATAGTACACATCAGCCAAACGACATCTAGTAAAAACCAAAGAAAAAAAGTTACCGACGCTCTTTCCACATCCCTATGTATTTTTAAACAAATTGAGGTTTTTAGTTACCTCCAATGTGGCCATGAGAGGGTATGCCCACCTGCCATGTCAAGGCAGGCCTCTTAGGTGGGTCCTACTCTAACCATTTGCCTTGCTTCCTTGAGCTTCTGGCAAAAATATATCTAATATGGCCTGCCTTTAAATTTAAAGGGACACTATAGTCACCGAGACCACTTGAAGTGGTCTGGGTGCCAGGTCACTCAGGTTTTAACTAGGTGTGCACCGAAATTTCGGTCCGAAACCAGCTCATATCTGCCGAAAATCGGACATTGTGATTTATCACCCAGTAGCTCACCATGCCGCCCTGCTACTGCTGCAAATGTCCTGCGCTCTATCCTACCCGGGAGCGAGCTGTTAATTACCTTTACAGCCGCTCCGTGCAGCTCCCTGTGTAAGTCTCGCGAGACCCGCGGCCGTCAGAGTGTTGCCACGGGTTACCGCGAGACTTACACAGGGAGCTGCACGCTCCGGCCCCCCTTGCACAGCCCATCCACTGGACCACCAGGAAATGTTACAGCCCCCCTCCCTGGCCATGCAACAAGCAGGGAGGGGGGCTAAAAATATAAATTAAAAAAAAAAAAAACATTAAAAAAACCCCAAACATTAAAATATTAAAATAATTACAGTAAAATATAAAAAAAAAAAATATATAAATACAAATGCCCTCCCCCCACCCAGTTTACACACACACAAACTCTGCACAGAGTGTGTGTAATATATATATATATATATATATATATATATATATAATGCAGAGTGTGTGAATGCGCACACACCATTCATTCTATACACACACACACACACACACTACAAATAAATATTTAATTAATGTCATTTTATTGGGATCTAATTTTATTTAGAAATTTACCAGTAGCTGCTGCATTAATGTGCTTACAAATGCTGTTGTGGCAGAGTACGCTGCTTTGTTCATTCGCGCACTCAAAAATAAAGAATAAAAAAAAAAATTTAAAAAAATGATATGTTTGTTTATTGGTAGGGTATTCAATTATTAGTATCAGTTATATATAGTAAACAGGGTTAATAGATTTTTATTTATATATTTTTTTAAGCTATTTTCTGTTCAGTTTTGGTGTGTTACTCTCAATAAGTGTGGTTATTTATTTTATTGGCTTGTAGTTTTTCATATTTGATTTATTAAATTCATTAAAAAGAATTATATTAATAAAATCATTAAAAAATAAATAAATAGTATTTTAAAAGTATTTGGGCAAAAAGGCAATTTCGGTTTCAGTTTTCGGTCAAGGGCATTCTGAATTTTTGGTTTCAGCCCTGAATTTTCATTTCGGTGCACCCCTAGTTTTAACCCTTCAGATGCAAACATAGTTTCAGAGAAACGGCTATGTTTAGATTTGGGGATAAGCCAGCCTCTAGTGGCTGTCTTCCGGACAGCCATTAGAAGCGCATTTGCGATGCTGGATGCAAATTTTGCATCCATCACGCAGAGCGTCCATAGGAAAGAATTGAGAAATGCTTTCCTATGGACATTTTGAATGCGCACGGCGCTTCCCGCAAATGCGCATTTGGCTCCGCTGACGTCGGCAGGGGCGAAGAAGTCACCAGCGCCAAGGGAGCCCGGCGCTGTATTAAGGCAAGTGGCTGAAAGGGTTTTAACCCTGAGGGTGGGGGCACTATAGTGATCCTTTAAATAAAAACAAGTGAGGATTGCAGAGACAATATAGACCTATATAAAAAAGGCTCTGATTTTACACTCTGTGCTAGAACTGCTGTATATTTGTATGTACGAACATACAGGCATTTTAAATGCCCTAGATTAGATTAAGTTAGATTAGATTAGATTAGAAAGAGGTCAATGACTGGGGTGGTACTGGGTAAAGCACATTGGTAAACTCTCAAACAGCTAATTTTATTGACCAGTCAGCATGTATGAATTGGGTTGAGGGTTCCATCAATGATTAAACAGATAACAATAAAAAGATCATAACTTACTATAATTGGGTTCTTCTTCTGTGAAGAAAACAAAGCTAGCACCCCAGGAATAGCCATAATCTAGAAGGGAAAAATAGAAGTTAAAATAATCTGCTTAATTCCCGATCAACCTATTCCATCTGATATTAATATGGTGTGAGGAATTTTGGGTGGAAGTGCATTCCAGATTCTAATGCATTATATATTTACATAATGCCAACAACAATCAAGACTCAAAACTTGGATTTAAGGCATTGAAGATATAATAGAGTATTACCGCCCCAGCCCAAAGTGGCGCTCTAGTGTTGCCCAACATGGATTCTTTCCTGAAAGCACCATCCACGAAGCCGCACACAATGGAGATCCCAGCACATGCTATCTGCAGGATTCCCAAAATCACCATGCTCCGGTGGTTAAAGATAAAGTAACGATAGCGATCCATCGGGTAATAACTAGCCAAGAGACACTAGAAATCACTTTTACAATGACTGGCCTTCCTGAAAAGAAAAAAAATAAATAAAAATAAAAATATGAAAAACACCAATATCAGCACAAAGTCTACTACAGGCATAGGCAACCTTCGGCACTCCAGATGTTTCGGAATACACCTCCCATGATGCTTGCCAGCATTATGGGGGGGATGTAGTCCATAACATTTGGAGTGCCGAAGATTGCCTACCCCTGGTCTAGAACATGCACTTTGGCCACATAAGAAAGGACATGAAGAATGAATGTTCGTTGAGCCTTACTAAACTCTTATCAGATTTTCAGGAGGAATTATTCTGAAATACCAGTGTGTGTTCTAGTAACTCATGGTTTGTTACAGTCATAGCTTGAGGTATACAAAGTTAACATTTAATTCAATCAAAGTTTCAAATGTAAATGCCAGTTAATCTCTCTCAGCCAATGAGCTAAGCCCTGCACTGCTAGTCTTCGCTCAGATAGAATGCACCTGGCTCTCCATAGGAAGTCTACACAGACAGGGGGTTGACCAGATGCCACTGGCCAAGCCCATTCTTTGACATGTTGCTAGAAGTATATTCTAATGGAAGATGCACTTCTGCATTAGAATTTTTTTACTAAACTTAAAACAGCTTTATTAGCTGAATAGGTTAACATCCTAATTTGACAAATTTGTTGGGCATCGCTGATTTTTACCGTGATAAATAAAATTCATATAGTATTACATTATAATCATATACCCCATTATTTTTTTCCATTTTCTTTAAAGCAGGGGTTCCCAATTAATTTTTCACATGAAACCCTTTGACATAGTGTGCCAACATAGTGAAACCCCCCTAAAAAAAAATAAAAAAAAAAAATGTAAAAAATAAAAATAAAAATTGCACCACAGCGCAAACCTTTTAATTAGCAGAGTGTCTTTTATAGCAAATTATTTTTTTGCTACATATACACACACTAGTTTCAACAGATAGTAAACAGATTGTAGTAATTACGAGCAGATGTGCCTTTTTGTGTAAAGTTGGTGTTTGTATGTAATTTTAGCTTCTTAATAAAGGGGTGTGTTTGTATGTAATGCTTGCATTTCTGTGCAGGGTTGTGTTGGCTTTTAAATATGGATGTACATTTGTGAGTAGTATTGGTGTTTGAATTCAGGTTTTGTTTTGTGTGTGTAATGTTTATGTTTGCATGTTGTGTTAGTGTTTGATTGCTGGAATGCATGCACATACAATTCTTCATACATACAACATGGAGACAGAGGAGAGGCTGGGTGCTCAACACTCACTGCATTTGTCCCACGTGTCTGTTTCTCTAATGAAGCTGGGAGGAAGTGCTGTCACGTCCTCCCAGTCCACCGATAGTGCAGGGGCCCGGTTAGGCTCTTTAAGAGCCACGGCACCCGATCGGGCCACTGTTCAGAGATAATTGCCATCGGGTGGCCCTACGTGCATGTCCCACACAATGGTCAGATTGCGGCGGAACCCCACTAATTGGTAAACGCTGCTTGAAAGAAACACTCGGTGCCCCTCGCCCCATCCCTTGTCCCCCAAATATTGTCCAATCTTAACTTTATTCCAGTCTGCTGTTGCGGACATCATCAGAAGTGATCTCAGTCAATCACAATGTATTCCAACAGGAAAGCATTGGATTGGCTGAGATTGCCACTTCTGATGATCTCAGCCAAGGAGGTGGGCCAGGAGCGGAGTCAAATACCACCCTGGCCAATCAACATATCCTTATAGAGATGCATTGAATCAATACATCTCTATGAGGAAAGTTCAGTGTCTCCTTGAGTTTGGAGACATTGGGTGTGCAAATCTGAGAAGAGGCCATGGTTGGAGTCCCTAGGCTGTGATGTAAACACCGCCTTTTCTCTGAAAAGACAGTGTTTACATTAAAAATCCAGCAGGGACTGACTATACCCACCAGCACAACTACACTAAGCTGTAGTTGTCCTGTTGACTATAGTGTCCCTTTAAGGAAAGAAGTGCTTTCTATTACAACCTTTTATGCATTACATTCCCTCCCTCCCTGTTCAGATGTCCTTTATACAATACATTTAACCCCTAAGGACTGAGCCAAATGTACACGTTGTGATCAAAACAAAACCTTGAATTTGACTATATGTCTGTTCAGGCGTAATTCACCGCTTTCATATTATGTGAACCCACACTTCTTATACACCATTTTATTCAGGGGAAACAGGGCTTTTATTCAACAGCAAATATTTAGGTATGAAACCATTTACTATGAATAAGATATTTTTTTTAAAAATGGGAGAAAAAAAAAAAAAAGCTATGTGATATTTTAACTGTGGATGTCATAATACAGTTTCCTTTTACTGCAATAAAATACACATTTGTATTCAGTGATGTCTCACGTGTAAAACAGTACCCCTTATGTACAGGTTTTATAGTGTTTTGGGACGTTACAGGGTCAAATATAGTATGTCACATTTTTTTTTCACATTGAAATTCGCCAGATTGGTTATGTTGCCTTTGAGACCGTATGCTAGCCCAGGAATGAGAATTACCCCCATGATGGCATACCATTTGCAATAGTAGATATTGCAAATTGGGTATGTCCAGTCTTTTTTTTAGTAGCCACTTAGTCACAAACACTGGCCAAAGTTAGTGTAAATATTTGTGTGTGAAAAATGCAAAAAAACTAATTTGAACACCAATTTTGGCCAGTGTTTGTGACTAAGTAGCTACTAAAAAAGACTGGACATTGGCCAAAATTGGTGTTCAAATTAGCTTTTTGCATTTTTCACACACAAATAAATATTAACACTAACTTTGGCCAGTGTTTGTGACTAAGTGGCTACTAAAAAAAGACTGGACATACCCCATTTGCAATACCTTGGGTTGTCTACTATTGCAAATGGTATGCCATCATGGGGGTAATTTTAGAGACATGTACCTATAAGGTGTTGTAGCTCAAATCCTTATACGGACCGGTTTGTAGAAACTCCAAGATGTCTTTAATAGCAGGATGCTGTATGTTAACCTACTTAGGAGAGGCTCAGGAAGAAAATGCGTCCCAAATTCTATAGTAGGTAGAGGAATGCTTCCGAGCCTGTAATAGGTTATATGTGACTGCAACCGAGAAACTCTTCTCTAGAAGCCTTTCCCTTTCAACCTCCAGGTTGAGTGATGCTGGGTCTGGGTGTAGGATAGGACCCTGGTGCAGAAGAGAAGGAACTGCTGGAAGGTCCCACATAGGTTCCTGAAAGAGAGACTCAGAAGAAGAGGGAACCAAGGCCGGCGAGGCCAGTATGGGGCAATCAGGATCATAAATACTGGTTCCTGACGAATGTTTCTTAGTAGAGAATATATGAGGGTAGTGGGAAGAAATTCATACCCCTTTGTGAACTCCCATCTGCATGATAGGGCATCCCTCTCCCAGGCCTGCGGTTCGTGCCCCCTCTAGAAGAATTCCTGGAGCTTCTTGTTGTTGTTGGCGGCCATGATGTCTATCTGAGGAAGATCCCATTTCTTCAAGATATCTTCGAAGACTTCGTCTGAGAGGCGCCACTCTCCTGGGTCTATCCTTACCCTGCTGAGAACGTCTACCATATTCTGCATTCCTGGCAGATGAATCGCCACTAGCCCCGCAAGGTTCTTCTGTGTCCAAGACATCAGGGGAATCATCAACCTTACCATACTGTGACTTCGGGTACCTCCTTGATGATTGATATGTACTACTACTGTAGCATTGTCCGTTCTCACCTTTACCCACTTATGCTGTAGTAAACGCTGAAAGCGCTTTAGTGCTCTGAAAACCGCCAGAAGGTTTGAGTGGGTCTCGTGTGCAGGAAACTCCCACTTCCCCTGGGTGACCTCGTTCTGCAGGTAGGCTCCCCAACCCCAGTGACTGGCATCTGTCGGTAAAGTAATCCAGGGAATGTTCCCCAGGGTTAACCCTGAGAACAGAGCCTTCTTGTTCATCCACCATGTCAGGCTTAGATGGAGCAGGGTGGGAATCCAGATGGGCTGGAGTAGATTCTTCCCTCTGTATTTGGAAAGAAAATTCCTCTGGAGTGGAGTGTTCTCATTCTCCATTGCGCCCATCTTGTCAAGCCTATGGTTAATGACATAGATCCTAGTAGGCTCATGACTTTCTCTGCCGTGGCGACCTTGACTTGTATCTCTGATGAGTTTTACTCCTTTCACTTGAGAGCTGAACTGTCCCCAGCGCAGTGTTGAACAGGGCTCCTAGATAAAGCATGGACTGTGAAGGTATAAGGTGACTTCCCCATTTATCTTCCAGCCGTGTTCCTGCAGGAACTGAATGCAGATGTCCCCTGTGTACCTGTCCTCTGACAGCACCAGGATGTAGTCCAGATAATGAAAAATGGCAATGCCCCTCTTTCTTAATTCTGCGATCAGGTCCACCAGGATCTTTGAGAAAGTGCGAGGAGCTGTACTGAGGCCAAATGGAAGGGCTTGGAACTGGAAGTGCCCACCTTCTACTGCGAATCTCCGATATCTTTGATGCAGTTGAGCGATCGAACATGGAAGTAGGCATCTTGCAGATCTACAGACATCAGCCATTGCCCTGGGAAGACTGCTTTGATGATGGACTGAAGCGACTCCATTTTGAATCTTCTTACATTCAATCGCTTATTGAGAGTGTGAAGATCTAGCATGGGTCTCCATGCTCCTGAGGACTTCCTTGTGAGGAATAGATGAGGATAAAACCCTTGTGTTATTTCCTCCTTTGGAACTTCCATAATGATGCCTTCTTGCTGCAAGGAAGAAAAACTCCAGAAGAGCCAATCTCTTGTCTCTGTCTCCCGGCCATCTTGTAAGTTGAAAACTGCGACAAGGTGGGGCATCTCTGAATTCCAGAAGATATCCTCTTTTGGTTATGTCCAGCACCCACTTGTCTTTGGTAGAAGACTCCCATCTCTTTTGGAATAGGAGGAGGTGCGCTCCTACCCCTCCAGGCTTGGAGATCAACCCGTCATAAAGCTCTGGTGTTCTTGCTGAATGCAGAGCCTCTGGCTCTTCCTCCACTAACGGAAGACTGCCCCCCTCTCCAAGGCTGGGATCTTCTGTATTCTCTACCTGGTCTGTAGGATTTGAAGTCCCGAAAGGAAGATTGATCTGAAGGTCTTTTGGGCCAAAATTATCTCTTAGGCCTACGATCTTAGGGTAGAAACGCATTCTTGCCATCTGCCGCCTTCTTAATGCAAACATCCAGGTTCTTACCAAAGAGCATGTCTCCATAGAACGGTAAAGAGCAGAGGCTGTTCTTAGATGAAGCATCTGCTGACCAGGATCTAAGCCACAAAGTCCTTCTAGCGGAGATGGAAAACGCCATGTTCCTGGCCACTGCTTTGACCATATCCACTGAGGCTTCAGTAGTGAAATCTACTGCCAGCTTAAAGTCTTGCAGACTGCCCATGAGGTTGGATCTGCTTCTGCCTTCTTTGATACCCTCCTCTAAGCCCTCCAGCCAGATCTTCAAAGCTCTGGAGACCGAGGTAATGGCAACCGCGGGGTGGAGGCCTGTGCCTGCTGCCACATAGGCCCTAGACAGGTTAGAGTCCATCTTCTTATCCATGGAGTCTCTTAGAGATCCTGCATTATCCACTGGCAATGTGGTGTACTTGGCCAGTCTTACCACCGCTGCATCCACTTTAGGGGCTGACTCCCAATGGCCTGCGTCCTTTTTGTCAAAAGGGTAGAGGCGAGAAATTCTCCCCTGATTGGGAAGTTTCCTCTCCGTCTTGGACCATTCTTCCATAATGATGCCCTTAAATCGCCTCATGAACCGGGAAGGTAACTCTTTCTTCTGATGTCAGAAAAGTAGTGACTGGATGTAGAAGGCTCTTGAAGATTCCTTCATGCTCAGAGACTTGCGGACCCTGGAAAATAAGTGATCCACTTCGGTTGGGTCCAAAGTGTCAGGAGCGTGCTGTTTTTCCTCATCCGAGGAAGATGACCTCTCCCTGTATGTTTCCTCCATAGATACATCCGAAGAGTCGTATTGGAAGTAGTCGGGAGGATCTGGACATCTAGGCCTTTTGTGGGCTCTGCCAGCCTCTCTAATGCCTTGGGATACAGCATTCTGAATAATTTGCATAAAATCCGTGGTGGATGATGTGGGACATCCTGCGGCCTGTAGGCAATCTGAGCATAGGCGCTTCCCCTCCAGGGCCCTCTTGTCACATGCTTCGCATAGGGACCTTGCGAGAGACTACTCTTTGGATGTTCCAGCTGTCTTTTTCCCTTTAGTACTACTATAAACAAGGGAAAAATATTAGCCAGCACTCTTTTGTTTAGAAGAAAAAATTTGACAAAACTAGACCATAGAAGAAAAAAGGATATAAGAAATGGCTTACCCCTGAGATTTAGATAGTGACCGTTTACTTTGAACTGACGAGTCTGAATCCATGATCTCAGATGAATTCATCTATAAAAAAGTTAAGCCCATAAAATACTATAAGGCTAAAAAAAAAAAATAATCAACTGAATAAAAAAAAAAAAACAAAAAAAAAAACACAACTGTGCCTTTAAAAAACAACCAACCAACAACCAACACAAACAAAAAAACAAAAAACAAACAAACCTTCAGTCTGCAGCACAAAACTGGGTTAAGACCACATTGTACTGCATTAAGTTAGTAATAGAATGTGTTGGAAAGCTAAAATTTCAGTATTGGCGCTTTAAAAAGGGCGCCCAAACTACTGAATGACGTCATCGGGACCTCGGACATACCGCGCATGCGCAACCGGCACTTCCACGCATGCGCGAAAACGGCATCACGCAAACAAACTGTCCGCGCATGCGCAATAGTGAAAACCAGACGCCAAGCCAGCAAGGAGACCCATGTTCTTCCAACCTATTGCGGACAGCCAGAAATGTGGCGAAAATGCAGCGAATAGGGACAGGGTGGACCCTAGATCACCAGGGAAGCCCTGCACTCCCCCAGAAAGGAGAAATAGACACCAGGCAGAGAACTGCCAAAATAGAGGAGGAATGCCTCCAAATCAGAGAGAAGGGAGGATTAACCAGGTAACTGAAAATGAAGGTAGAAGGGGGTATATCCATAATTCTTATGTCTTGCCCATACCTGCTACCCCTAAGGTCACAGCAGTCAGTAGGGTAGTGGCTCCTTATGCTTGGTAACCCTAGGGTCACTGCAAGCTTCCCCCGGTCACTGGGGGTTCTTCAGGGGGACAGCTTTGCACAGGGCTGTATACTGGAGCTTCCCAAGGAAGAGAGGCTTAACTCCCGTGGGGCCAAGGGTAAAGACCCTTAAAGTAAGCCATAAAAAAATAAAAAAAAATTAAAAATTAGTTCTCAATCTGAAAAGACTAATCTGTCCTAGGGATAGGACAGGAATAAAAAGGCTGAGGGTAGGAGGGGTTACTTATACCCTTATTTTAATTAGTTCCTGACTAATTATGGATGGGGAGGAGCTACCCATTGTTGTGCTGCCATGGATATGGCCAGGAAATAAATAAATAAATATAATAATATATATATATATTTATATTTATTTCGTTCTACGTGTATTTTGATATCAATATAGATTACTATTAAAATACAGTTAGAACAAAATTACACATATTTTATTTCTCTCTTTATTATTTTTATTTTATTTATTAACGTATATATATATATATATATATATATATATATATATATACACACACACACACACACACACACAAAAAAAATATATATATTATTAAAATACACTTAAGACATGGTGTGTAAATATATAAAAACACACAGATCACATATATATTAAATATATGATCTAAGTATATATTATTATTTCATTTTACACTGTTTTGATCTTTATTTATTCATTCATTTTACAGCCAGCAGGTGGACTACCTGTCATTCCAGGCAGTCCCCCTGCCAGCAATGCTGTGGACGGATATGCCGTCCATATGATTGTGCGGTCCTCGCGATCACATGGCCCAGGGGGGCCAGAACGGCAGCAGGACTCCCCCCTGGGATGGCAGGTGAGTCCCCCCACCGCGATCGCCGGTGACCGGGTAAGTACATAAGACGGCTTGAGCGTTCTATGCCGCCCGTGTTTAGGACCTGGTCCCCAAGGACGGCATAGAATGCCCACCGTCCTTAAGGGGTTAAATACCAACTAGACACAAGCAATTTGTTTCGGTCCGAATTTAAATTCAGCCAAATTTTGTCAATTTGGACATTCGGATACTTCCGAATGTCCGAAGTGCCGAATTTCGGAAGT